AGAGAGTAAAGAGAGTAAAGAGAGAGTAAACAGAGAGTAAATAGAGAGTAAACAGAGAGTAAAGAGTGAGTAAAGAGAGAGTAAAGAGAGAGTAAACAGAGAGTAAAGAGTGAGTAAAGAGTGAGTAAAGAGAGAGTAAAGAGAGAGTAAAGAGTGAGTAAAGAGAGAGTAAAGAGTGAGTAAAGAGAGAGTAAAGAGAGAGTAAAGAGAACGACGAGAACGAAATGTTAAATGACATCAGGTCTGTTAAACTAAAAGGGTTGAGAACCACTGCCTGTTTTTAAATATCCCGAGGGAAACAAAAAATGATCTAGAATACGGCTTGTGCTAATAAATGACACTGTATGTACATCCTTGTTTAAAAACTATAGACGTTGACCAAATTCAGTGAAATTATCTTTACCTCTAGGCACAGAAACCAATATTTTACCATCTCTGCTTTCTCGGTCTGTTACATCTTAATATTCAACACATTTATATTGTGCATTTAATCTTTTAAGTGGGAGTTTAAGCCACGGACATAAACCAAAATTTGGCTATTTCTGTCTGTTTTAACTTGATTTCTGATTTAGACTTAAAATATATCAAGAGGGACCTCAAGAGATGCACATTTGAATTATATTTAAGAGCATCAGATACAGAAATACTTGTAATATGTGGGCACACCAATAAACTAGTGGCAAGTCAAACATTAAACTGTCGAGTGGTTATTTTGATTGAAATTAATATTCTATGGCACAAGGGGTTTTCTGGTCTGGAAACAGTGCAACTAGTTAAAAACGTCACTATTGTTTGCCCATAACTGCTTTTATTTTTCTGTGTATGGCCCTCAATCAAAAACCGTTTGAACACTCCTTTACTACAATAACAACCAGAGGAATGTGTCGCATTTGAAGAACATTTTAGTGTTTTATGACTGATACCACACTACGACATTCAAACTAACATCTAGAGTAAATCCCTCACACATATTTGTAATGAAGAAGGTATAAATTACCCATGAGACACAAGGAATTAACTGTATGTACATGTATCCAAACGGCGGTGACACACAAAGTGCCATATTGTACGTGGCAGGTCACGTGGCCAATCAAATTGATGTTATTGTTACTCAGGAGCCACAAAAGGTTCAGCTACCGTGTGTTGAATTCGAAGCGCGAGAAAGAAAACAGGTCTTTAGAAATCATTGTTTACTGTAACTACAGTAATTAGTGTTATGCAAACAGTTGCAGTCAATGCGGCACTGTTTTCTCAGGGCCCGCTGGCATCCGGGCATTTACGAGACTCGCCTGTGATTTGGAAAGTTATATATGGTGGAAAAATGAAAAAAAAGAAGCCATAGCGAGAAATTGTTCGTCCCGCTGCAGCTGCAGGAACTCGTCTGTTGAAACTGTGACCCGTCACGTGCTGCTGCCGCCGAGTGTGTGTGTGGAGCGTCAGTGTGGATGGGAGGTAAATACTGAGGTCTCTTTCGGGGTCCTTCGTCTCATGAAGCGTCCATGAGTGTACCGATGCTGAGAGGAAAAAAAAAAAAAAAAAAAGCTAAAACCAGGACAGAGCTTATACGGTACACATGTCACTAAGCCCATGAGGGTGTCTTGCAGAACTGGTGTGTGTGTGTGTGTGTTTTGGCAGTCAGAGTGATGAGGAAGAGGAGAAGCAGGAGGACCCCCTGCCAGGCCTCCTCATGTATTATCAGCCCACAGCTCCCCAGCAGGCATCAACCGCTGCGTACCAGGGTGCCGAGCTTTATACCGCCAGGGGCATGTTGGGCTTATTTCTTTCTTTTTTTTTTTTTTTTTAAATATGGGACAACTTTCCTCTACACGGCTGCAACCTCCCCCGATACATGCAGAGAGAAATGAACACACGCACACATAGAAAGGCAGGAATTGAAAGGGTTTTCACCATTTAATTAAAATCGTTTGTCAGGAGAATAATACACACGATTGTGCTTAACTGAAGTGATGTAAATGATTTTTATATATGTATATACACTTGTATATCACATACTGTATGTACATATGACAAATACAATATTACAATGTGATATCAACTGTAACTTTGTGAAAACTGTTCACACCAAGACATTCAGCCACTTTGTCTGATTTTCGTTACAACTAGCTGCTGCACTGTTATTGCCTTCAAACAATTGCATGTTGTTTGTGATTGAGGGATGGATTACAGTGTGTACTTGTACATGCCAGTTCACTACAGTGGATCCACGGAGACGGTTACAACTATTCAACCTGAAAATGTGCGTGTTCATTTTCACACCAAGCACCTTGGTAAAAAAAAGAAAGAGAAAAAGAACGATGACACAGTAGGATACTGCCACCTTGTGGACGAACACGACCGACTCGCTTTGTGACAAAGCGCTGCTTCTCCCACTGGTCCAACATTTTCCCTGATTAACTGAACAGCTCCAGTGATTCATTTCTTAATCTCAATTCAGTCACTGGCAGTAATAATAATCATAAACTAAACAGCAGATTCCTTCTCATCTATGGCACGAGATTGTTGGGAAACACAAGTAGAGATTTGTGTATTTCACCGTGGAAAGGAATTAAAAGCAATCCGAGTGAATAACGGGTTAATCACATTGGCCTCAACTCAAGGCACATGAAATACACTTTATGTAAAAAGTGTTACGGCTGAAAGCTGTAATCTCTCTCTCTCTAACACACTCCAGCCATCACGTTTGCCCGTATGGGTGCACGCAGCATTGTGTGTTGGCAGCGTGTCGATGGCTGATGAAAAATGAGGGTTTCGCATTGATTTTTCCACCAGCTGATGATCTCATCCGTCACAACAGTCTGTTGAAGTTCACCGAATGCAGCCGGCGATGACTCGGCACGAAAAACAAGCTGCAGACGTTGATGGAGATCAATGGGAAGTAATGATGGTAGCAAACTAAGTAGATAGTACGGGATATTGGACCTGCAAGAAAGCAGCTGAAATCAACGCCGTTTTAAAAACCGAAATGTAAAAACCTCCCTGCCAATGATCACCTCTAAAACTCTCCGTTCATTCACTTAGTGGCAGTACGCGACCATCATCCTTACATTCAGAGCCCATCCCTTCCGCTTGCTGGACTTCGTCCGCCCTGTCGAAGCTCCGCCGCGTTCACGAGGGCGTCAGCGCCGGGGAGTCGGGGCCGGCCGCCGGCACCTCGTACTTGAAGACCACGCTGAACAGCTTTCCTCCCAGGCGGTCGGCCAGCCACGAGTTCTTGATGACGGCCATCTTGAGGCTCTCGCAGCTGAGCATGGCGTAGTAGTTGGTGTGAATGGCTCGGCCCATTCCCTCGATGATCACCAGGTCGGTTTTCCGCTCGCGCACCACCATCGCCAGCACTTTGTCCAGACGACTGTGGGAAGAAAGAGATGGAGGATAAAACGTTTTCTGCACTAAAATGACCACAACACAGTACATCTAATGAAGTGTGCACCAGGAGCTCAGAGGTCTGGCTTTTAAAGAGGATATTTACAGCCCAAACCGTAAAACCAACCTCAGATCCAGGCAGGGAGAACTGGAACCACTTTGGACCAACGTCAACCTGTCCTCCGTCAGAGCAGCCCTGCTCAACAAACACACCACAGGTCACCACAGGTCACCACAGGTCACAGAAAGCTATATCTACTCAGGATATGATGATGTTTTTTTAAAAGCTAATAGATTAATAGCTGTGGTCTATACTCGTAAACACTCACTGAATCACTGGATCCAGAGCAGCGATGCTTTCGGTCAATATCTGCAGTTCACCGTTCGTTACGTCATTTAGAGCCGGACTAGAGTTGCTGGCCAACACCACCTGAGGATACACGATAGAAGAGTTAGAGTAGTAAAAAAATAAAAAGATGTCCTCATCACTGAGAAAATCACGGCAAGATTACAGTTGAGAACAGACACGTTTGTTGAAAGATGGTTACTATTGATTCAGGCGATACTGGAACATCTATCTTTTATTCCTATAAGGGAAATGAGCTTTGACTGCGTATGAATCTCCTCCGTTTCCTGTTTTCTGTATTTTTCGAAATGATGTTAAGAGTTCCTTACCTCCGTTCCTCGAGAGAGAAGCTCTCTGACAAAAGGCATCACCCCTAGAATGATGTCTACTCCACTATTATCTACGAAAAACAAGGCACACTTATGAGGAGGACCCTGCAAGAGAAAACCAGGATGGATTGTATTCAAGCACTCATCATCAACATCAGACAGCACAGAAACACGCTCTCAAAGTGTTGCAAATACTACTTCGTGCTAAACGCCACGTGGCACCGTCACATGCTTCTGATAAAACAATGATGCTACTGTGAATAACTTGGCTTTGGAATGAGGAAGAGACTGACCTTTAGTCTCTCAAACCACTGGTCATAGGTATCAACAAGCCACGGCCGCTCTGAGGAGAACAAAAAGAGTCAGTCAGAGCAGAAAAATGAGTTTCTCTTGAGTCAAAGGATTCATGAGCAAAAATAAAAAGGAGAGAAACACTTGGATACCTTCCAACTGTCGTTTAGCCTGCTCAAACCCAAACTCAGGATCAGACTCCAGCACGCTGAACAACATCAAAACAGAAAAGGTGCAAAAATAAGACGGCTGTTTGGATTACAGTGGAAACAAACCATTGAGAGCAGGGCTGCAACTGCAATCAACCATTCATCTTCAGATGTTCTAGGTCAGGCGATAAATCGTTTGATTTGATGTCAGAAAGTAGTGAGAAGTGTCCATCCCAGTTTGTTAAAGTCCAAGCTGATGTGTTTAAATGTCTTGCTCTGCAAAAGACATTCAGTTTGAAATGATAGAAAACAGCGAAAAGCAGGAAATCTCCATATTTGAGAGGCTGAAAACAGCATTTCCATAGATTGAAATTCAGACAATTCATTTCTTAAAGAGAGAGGCGGTTCTGGTTGAGAATAGCCACAGCTGGTCTTCCAACAGTCAAAAGACACAGACACGTATATCATTGTGAAGCCGTTACATTCTCTGTTGGGATGGCTGTAAGCAGCCGTACGGTGCTTTAAGACATTTTTCATTCCGTTTACTGCCAACTGTTTGCAGTCTGGCTCACTTCTCAAAACAACGTTAACATTGCCCAAACTCCGCTCACTCTGACACGGCCTTGGCTCCCCAGTCGAAGACGTTCCCAGCCAGGACACCCCTGACCAGGGCGAACTGTCTCTCCTCCCAGCTCAGCTCCTCCAGGGACTTCACGGCCTTCTGGTAGTACTTGAGAGCCATGTCGTTCTCCCTCTGTTTGATCTGCAACAGGAGCAGAGGGACCAGAGGGACCAGTCAGCCGGTTCGACAGCACTCGGCATACAGACATCATGAGGTGGAACTGAACCGTCACCATGCGACGGTGTGGAAAACATGATCAGATGAGAGCCAGAGTAGCTGTGTAGCGCACAGAGAGGAGGCAGAGAGAAGACAAGGAGAGGTGGATGGGGTTTGGCCCAGACCTTAGAGTAGGGATCAGGAAAGTTGAACTCGTTTAAGCAGTGCTCTCTGGTGTCCAACAGGCTTCTGACAGTGAGGGATCCGTAAGCACTGGGTGAGGAGAGAAGCGCTCTACGTTAGCCAGAGAGAGACATTCACACAACCGGGGCTGCGGCGGTTGATGCAGACAATATTTGATATTTCTTGCTCGACATAAAGTTATAAAAAACGTTGTCAAACTGACTTTGCATTGAAAGTGTGCTGGTTTCTGAAAATATGGCATTTTTGGCAGGTTTTTTTTCGACGAATTACACGTTCACGTCATGCCGTCACTGTTTATTCTAATAAATCATTGACTAAAGTTATACGACTGACACAGTTAACAGACTTCCCCTTCTTCATTGACATGGGCAGCTACAGCAGGTATAAAGACATTGAACCTCAAGACTTTTCTACAACGTCTGCATTAGTTCCGTCTACTGGAAGCAACCGCTGGGTCAAACTGATTAGCCGTGCACGTGCACAAAAACTAAAGCGCATCTTACAAAGGCTGGTGGCGGAGGGTCTGAAGCTTGTGTCTGTACTTCTGCCGGAACTTCTCTGCTCGCTCGGCCGCCTCCGGCATGTCGGGCTGACTTGCCAGAGCTCTCTTAACCACCTGCTCCGGAAAACAACAAACAAACAAACAAGAACCACGTATAATCAGCCATGTTTTCACAACCTCGTAGGAGACACCAAATGAGCTCATTTTGTGTTTAATTGGCTAAACGTAGATGATGTGATGTGATATCAAACTCAGATTTTTTTTTCTCCAACGCATATACAATGTAGCTTTATATTAATAAAAACTGTAAGCGGTCTAGAATGTCAATGATAACTGAGAAATTCTGTTGGAGCTTCTTCCTTAATTCACAATATTGTGAATCTGTTTTACAGACACAAATCCAGATCAGGAGGAAGAGATCTATCGCAGATTATCAGTTTAAAACCTGCTCATTCACTTATGAAATTCATCATTCTCATACAATACATTTGTGCCTTCAACAATAAGTGTCTGTACGGCACATCTTCAGCCGCCACCCCTACCCCGTCGAGGGCCTCCTCGAAGCAGTACAGCCAGTACTCGCGGGCCAGAGCGTCCTCGGCGAGGTCCACGGTGTCGGGGATGTACGATGAAGCGTCCTGCAGCAGAGGCAGATTCACCAGCTTCCTCTCCAGACGGTCCATCTCCAACATGTCGAACTAGACCCAACAAAGAGACAGAGGACACCACGCTGTCACAGCTGCAGCTCCTCCAACGCCAAAGCCTACTCCAGCCATCACTCTGTTATTCTAGGACATATTTCACAATATTTCAGGCATGTTAGTACTTATTTTATAAGAAGAAAAAAGCAGAGGAAGATGCAATATGCAACAAAAAGCAGGGAAGGCTCCAGAAAGATTCACTCTGAAAAGCTAACGGAAGCCAGCTGATTTATTAATTGAGGGACACAATCGATACTCCATTAAAGGATACATCGATAAGCTTTCTAATGTGGGAATTCAACAAAGATGAGCTAATATTTCATTCGCAGTTTGCACTAATGAAAACTAGAGAGCTAAGCTCGGGGAAAGCAGGAACTTGGGTGGTGAGAGCTGATTCCAGGGCAGCTAATGCTCGACAGAGGTTGACGTTCTGTGGAGACCATTATGATCAAAGTATCACAAAGCAAAGCGGCTGTCACGCACATCAAACCGTGTTATTTTACCAAAAAATGAGTTAGTTACGGACAAATCAGTGGCAAGACTTTCAGTAGAATCAAAGCTAAGCTATAAAAAAAAGCCCTGCAGTGAACAAAGTGTAAAGTTGAGCAGGAGCCACCAGTTATCAAACCAGAGCACAGCAGTGAGGCAGACGGAGATACTTACTGGAAACTGAAGGAGAGGGTTAGGTAGACAGAGGTGGGTGTGTGTGTGTGGAGAGGAAATGAAAAGAAAGATCAATAAATGTATTTATATGATGTTCATGGATTCAGTGAGAACAGCGATGATGGTGTTTCCATAAAAGGAGATCAAAGGTTAAATTAAAAAGGTAAAAAAAGAATCAGATATTTGATGATTTCTGGAAGAAAAGGGAAGACGGTGGGCAAAATAGAAAGCAGCAGAGTGAGAACAGGTCTTGAGGTCTAAGAGGGCTCCTTGTGGTGCGTGCTGGTGTGATCACTCACCGTTCCGCTGCGTGCACGCTGCATGGGATTCATGTCTGGAGAAACGCTCATCAGGCCCGAGCTTCCCGCGTAATTCTCCCCCCAGCTGTACTGGTTTGGATCTAGATGGGGACAAGATGCAATTACACATTCATGGTTTCTGAATTATAGTGCTTTTCATTATTATTTAAAGTTTGTTTTTTGAAAATATCTGGAGCCAAGCTGGGTGGCTTGAAATCAGTTCTCGTCAGACAAACCTTCGTCTGTTATTGGTCCTTGTAGAACATCAGTGCTTCTAGATTCTGCCATGGCAGTTAGTTAAATGTGATGATGTAAAAGTAAGAAAAGGAATTGTGCGTTTTTCCTTACTGTCCTCCTCTGCTCCTTTAAGAAATGCTCCGATGGCTCCGAGATAGCCTTCGTGTCTTAGGAACAAGGCCTGAACTTCACCCTACAAAACAAAAGGAAGGGGAGGACATTACAAAACTGGGTTGTAGGTGAAGTGGAGCCAATAACAAATAAAGTTCAGGGCAGAGAGACACGGTGTCCTCCCGGTGGAATGTGCTTAGATTGTTTTTAAGGCCAGCGGAGGAAGAGGCCTTGCCTTGGTGAAGAAGTTGATGCTGTAGGTGATTGTGTGCATAGTGACAGGGTGTCCTCTGATGAAGAAGCCTCCGAAGTACACTTGGGACAGGTTGTGGAGTTTGGCATACAGGCAGGCCAGCTGCCCAATGTCGTTGCTGATCATATGCAGCAAGCTCTTGGCCATGTCTTCTTTAGAGAACCCTACAATGCAGAACGGAGTCATATGAAACTGAAAGGTCTGACATCTGAATATGTAAATACGGCCACTGTCACATTAACAGAGCAGAGGAACTCTTCCTCAGTGGTTGTAAGACTTTTCCAGTATTCATATTGGGAAGCTTCTGACTAACTTCCTTCTGTTCAATGGAAGTTTGCACAATAACAAAATCATGTGAGCACTGGGACAACGATTCGGTAACAATATTTATAATCGAGAATATAATTTCATATTCTGAAACTGAAACTATATATTTTACTCAGAACTGCTCGGCAGCAGCAGAGTTTGCTGCCATCCAGTTACAAATACAGAACCCAGAGAGAGCCACGCTGAACTAAAAGTGTGTGTGTGTGTGTGTGTGTGAGTGTGTGTGTGTGTGTGTGTGTGTGTGTGGGTGTCATCGGTCCACTTCAACGCAGGTTTTGCAATAACACTGGAAAATATTAGACCTGCCAACATGTATTCACAAAGACAACAGGACAACATTATATTTAAACGTAATCCTTTGATTGACGAGTGTGCAGCCTGCAGTGAGTCAGTCGGGTTAAGATGAGTTCCAATAGTAAAGTGTGAGGATTGAACTGAAGTAGTGTATTTTACCATTTATTGGGGAAACTACAGTTTGACTATTATTATCATCATTAATAGTCTTTATTAAACAAGGACCATGGACAATATACACCAGATTTAGATATCAACTATTTTCTGTTTGCAAAATTCTGATTATATTGATGTGGTTCGTGCAGCAGCTGTTTAGGTTTCAATGCAAAGGCTGACACCTTCTCACCATTGAATATATATTTCACAGATCAAGGCTGACTACAGTTGCTGCCCTTTGAGGTTACAACCTCTTTACAATCAAGTCTCGAGTCCACATATTGTTTTGATACTCAAAAGATGCTTGTTGTACTGTTTAAATGTATAAAGTGTGTCTGTTACTACACTAACCTGGACATACATACATACATACATACACACATACATACATACACACATACATACATTCATAACGCTACAGGGTAGCCTTAAAATCAATGAGCCCATGTGTTACCTTTGTCAGCAGTAGCAGATTTTCCAAAACTGCTGGCGATAAGATCTCCAGTCAAGCCCAGAGACCCGTAGGATCCTCCGTAGATGTCTTTGACGAGCATATCGACGCTCGTGTGCTGCCCTTTTGAGGCCAACTGCAGCAACTCGTCAAATCTCTGCAGGAGACAAAAAGAGTAAAGTTCACGATGTTTAAGTGAACGAAATATTGCACTGAGAAATCGATCGTTACTGGTTGACTTGTAACCCGACAGTAACACTAGAGCAAGTTATTTAGGATACCTTTGTGTTGGTTAATAACGCTCCAAGGCCCCAGAACGTCCCTCCGCCTATTGAGCTTCCTCCTATTCGCTCAAATTTGTCCTCTGATTCGACCTGTTGAAGAGGGAGACAGCGGGATGTTGCTTTTTTTTGTGCATTTTGTCTGATAAAACCAGAATATAATAGTTTGCTTTGATTAAAAAGCTGCACATTGTCACTAATCCTGACTGCTCTTCTTTAAATGATTCAACAGGGAGGTCTACTAGTCTGAACCACTGACAGCACTTGGATTGGGCGGTTATTACCTTGACTATGGACACGCCGGAGCCGATGTTCACGAGCAGGTACGGGAAGATGTCGGGTTGAGTCGTCTGAAAGCGGAACTCTGAGTCGGCGTGCTTGGCGTACACGAACGCCTCGTGGGGAATGTTCCTCAGCACAAAGTTACAGCCCTTGATGAGACAGGTCATCTCATCCTCCTTGTCCACTCTGCCACACAGAAAAAAATCCATTAGAAGGAATCATCAGCAGCCGAAATGTGAAATATATCTAGAAAATAAGACCCCCATCTGGTAAATCATTGAGTATAATGTGCAATCTCCCTTGTTTTTACAGTACTACTACAGATTTGCAGTTCTCGACAGAGCAGCCGTCTGCACCCACATAAGCAGAAAAAAACAAACAAACAATAAAGCTGATTCATGTATTATCTCCCCTTCTCCGAGTTAAACCTCGAGACTCACATTTAACTGGAAAGCTGGACAAACGACTTGGATGCTGTGTTGTCATCACAACATATTTCAGATCTTCGCCTCCTCTCTCAGAAACAATGGTCCGTGCACTCACCTGAGTCCGAGCTTCCTCTCGATGAGCTCTTTGAACTTGTGCGCCCCTCCGCCCGTGGCCTTGATCACTTTGGTGTCCGTGTTGACCAGGTGGTCCTTGACGAAGTCCAGGCACGTTTCAATGTAGGCGTTCTCAAACTTGATGAAGTGCAGCCGGGCAGTGACCTCTTCCTGCACAGATATTTCATAGAGCTCGTCACCGGTAGCCTCCTGGAGACACACGCACGAGATGGTAACACAGAGGAGAGAGGGGTGAAGTCTTCATTATATATACTGCTAGAAACATAACCTCTGAACGAACATGATCTAGCTACTTGTTGAGCTAGTATATGTAAGCTATGCAGGCTATCATGTAACCCAGGACACCACAGCTTTCACAGACACTGGTGTAAACCAGATAACGTATATTACCTTTGCAGTGTGGTCGAAAGATCGCACTTTGGCCACCTTGTGTTGTACTGTTGAGTAGTAGGCGAGCTTCGTGAGAGATCCCCCTGTTCAAGCAAAACAGCACGGACAATGTCCGATAAGAAACCGGTTAGCCAGCAGAAGCTAAACCAGTGACACACGGGATTGACAATCAGACTCTGAACCTCGTGAACTGTGAAACTGTAGCGTTAGCTGGCTAAACAGAGACGACACAAACCTCAGCACCAGCTAGCTAGCAGCCAACACCAACGCTGTTGCACTTGTCAAAGTCGGCCAGGTTTGTTTGGCACACGTCCGTTCTATCAGCTAAACATAACCCTGAAACAGGCAAATGGACTTGCTGGCAAAACAAACTCAAATTAGACACGAATTCAAGCGGCTAATGTTAGCGTGGTCTTGTTTACTTTTACTTTAAAGTCATGTGTTGTCATAGTATCAGGCTGCGGCAGAGCTGGACGATAGACACGGACATTAGCTGTGTTAACGCAGAAGTGGCTAAATAAATAAAGAAAACGTTTATATTCCCGGGTACCTATGTCTATCGCGAACCGCTTTGCGTTCTCCAAGTTGCGGAATATTTCGTCAGGAGGGAGAGTAATGCTTTTATCCATGGTGTGTCTACTTGTGCTGCTGTGGAGTCCACCACATTCCGCCATGGTCGGAAACGATATGACGGTGCGTGCGCGCCGCCGTGCGTACGTGCGCGGCCCCAGTCGTCCAATCAGCATACGCGAGGCGTGTGAGTTTTCCTGTAAACACTTCCGCCAACATAAACGTAGAAGACATTGGGGGGCGGAAATATTTTCCAAAGACTTTCCTACTCTTTTAAATAACTTGATAAACATCTAAAAGAGTGAATTGGAAAATGACTTATTGACAGTTATTTGCATTTGTCTACTCTAAACTGTCAAGAGTTATTTAAAAAAGTAGACAACTGCCAGGCCTGTGTTTTGAGGTGTAATTGGTGCATATCAAAAAAGTCAAAAATTGCTTTTTAATCTTTTGATGTTACAATGAATAATGCAATTTTATTGTGTATTAATCATACTGATTATTTGAATGTGTGGCAGGTATAGACTAAAAAACAAATGCTATATTTTTACTAAACTACTTATTTATGACTACTGAAAGCATTATAGGTGGAGTAACAGCTAATGTAGCCTGTCACTTCTCTCAACTAATTGTTTTGCCTGTTGAACATTAACCCTTTAACAAGCAAGTTTTACTTTGTTAAAACCCACATGACCTCATTTTAAAATCCTAGTGGAAATTTGAATGTGTCTAAAAATACACTAAAAGTGTCTCTCCAGATTTCTATGGAAATATGTATTGATGATGCACAAGACGTGTCAAATATTTCCATTTGATGATGAGATGGAGCAGTGAATGAAAAGTTGGATTAGGCTGATATACAGTAAATATATGTGATACTGTGAGACAAAGTAGAATAAGCTTTTTTTTGTATTTTAAAACTACAATAGGTAAGGCATTTACTCCCTTGTTTGAAGTGCACATATACAAAGCAACCACTAGAGGATACTGCTCAGCCGTATTAGAAATATAAAGTGTCCAATGAGAGATTCTGCATTTGACCACAGACTGAGGTATATACACACTTTTACTGCCCAGTACAATACACCCCAATACAAAAAAATACCAGGTAATGTTGTCAATAAATTATGAAATGACACAGCTCAAGATTCAGTTGATGTTTTTTATTCAACAATATTGAACCATAGACATCATAGAGGCACTAGTGGTGATGATGCATCACAGCAAAAAGGTGTAGTTCAAGACATTGTACTTAAATAGAGTATAGTGGTAACAGCTCCAGTACACAGGGACTCGTTTAGTACAAGCTAAACACAGCGAACCAACTCTCTTACACTGAGAGAAAATAACTTCCAGATATTCGTTGCCACTTGACACAACAGAACATGTCAGAACAGAAAACTTGAAGACCCAACATGGGTCAAAAATCTTTTACAAAGTAAACAGTCAGTCAAGCACAAAGTGCTACCAGAAAGTAGCTGAGATTTGCCAATTTCCATTTCACTGAATCAATCTTGATATAGAAGACTTATAGGACTTTAAGGCAGTTGTAATCATTCTGGCCAATATCGGCCAAACATTTGATTATATTCATAAATCAATACAAGGATATTTGGTATTCATAGAATACATTTTTATGCTACTCAATATTTTCACAAAAATGCAATTTAATTTTCTTTGAAAAAATATTCCCAAAAATAAATGGAAATGTCCGTACAATATTACCTTGAGGATAATTAAAACACTTTGCACAGACACATATCTATTACATTTCAAAATATTATGTCTGATAATAACTTTTGACCAATGTGGTCGTCTCAGTTTGTCTGGTAGTAGCTCCAGTCGGCAGGTATCTACCATGGCCTCCAGGGGGCGCTGCTGACTGGACTCTTGTCTCTGGTGATGCTGGTCTGGACTGTGGAGCTCAGAGGAGAGAAGTCAGCCTCTCTCAGGTTCTGATCAGAGGAAGACTGCAGCTTGCTGAAGCGGTTCAGCAGTCTCTTCTGGGACTGGGTCTTCACCTGCTCCTTGGACAGGAAGTGTGTCACCTCTTGGACACATCTGGAGTAGCCCTGACCAACAGCTGCCGAGTCCACAGCTGGATGCTGCTGCTGCTGCTGCCGCAGTCGTCCCAGGACACAAACTGTCATCTCCAGGATGTCTGCTTTCTCCAGCTTGGAGTCTGGCTGCTGTTTGAGGAACTCTGGACCCAGGAGAGACTTGAGCTGCTCAATGCTGCTGTTGATTCGCTCTCTGCGTAACTTCTCCACCAGAGGCTTTCTGAGCTGCAGAAAGAAGAACAAAGTCATTAATGAACTTATTCTGGAGGAAAGTGTTAGCATGAAGAAAGACAACATCTCACTGGCAACATTTAAATCTTCTTGAATCTGCAATTTACCTTGTGGGTCAGAGTCAGATGCTCCTGAGAAGTGGTCATTGCTGCAGTGATTGTAGGTGCCATGTCTGGATCTCTGTGCTGATCTGATGTCTGCTGGCTTCATCCCTCCTATTTATAGTCCCACATCTCCATATGAATGTGTGGGTCTTGGTCGAGTTGGAGTTTCCCACAGTCTCAGCCAATCAGAGAGCTTGGTGAGACAATGAGGGATGTGGAGCAGCATGTTCACTGTTAATGCCTGGGGGACAATAGTTAGATCTCAGGGGAACAGATGGACGATGGGGGGGGGGGGGGGGGTAATGGAGAGAGAGCTCTGTGTGAATCTGGGAAAGTGGTGACCCTGTAGAGAGAGCAGATCTGCTGCCTGATGCTGGATCAATGACTTTGACTGAGCACACGCTCATCATCCCATCACACACGTCGAGGATCGATCATGAAGATATGTTACATTCCAATTTTTCTTAAAATGAACGTGTATGTATTTATGTTTCGTACAAAGCAAATTGATCAAACGTAATACTATCTAATCCGTAAAGACATCCTCTTGCTTGGTTTCTTTTTTAACTGTCTGTTAATGTTGCAGAATCTTGGTGGTGGTCATACAGTCGAGCATCGAATACATTTTGATTGCAGACTATTATGCAGCATAACAATGAAGTTGAATATTTCATTTTTCCAATATTGATTTGAGTAAGAACTTAAAATGTAGTAGGTCAAATCCTAATTGAGAAATTAGTTAGATATTTCACTTTTAAAAACGTTTTCATAAAACTCTTTCATCAAAAATGCACCATTTTATAAACAATGATGTTAGAAAGCAGTTTGATGCATTCATGGCTAAACTCAACAGAGTGATCATGCAGCAGTCTTTTGACACGTGCCTTGAAGTCAGCGTGAGTAACAAGTTGAGCTCAGTTTCCCACACCGACTCCCTGTATGGTCCGGTCAATGAACCACAAAGGCACTTCTGTGACAGATGCTGGCTGTGTGTTGTTATAGAAACGGAGCCTGACATCACCGACCATCTGGAGGGACAGGACACCATTGGCTGATTCTAACAGTGTGAACATTTTGTTGAAGAAACTGTCCTAAAGTATCACTAAAACTTAATCATGTCATATTTTCAGTTTTCAATCATAGCCTTACATTGAGAATCTCAGGTCATTATCATGCCACATTACTGACCATTAACTGGATCAAAACTCCAACTCTACTCATGAATGGGAGGTTTCGGGGGGGCAGCTGTTTCCTGAAGTGTGCCAAATCCCTCAGGAGAATGACTTGGCTGCTGGTGGGAGGGATGTCATTCACACTCGACTCAACCCCACACAGTTCTCCCACACTAGAAAGAAATTGGCATGTGCCCCTATCCTAATGGACCTTGAGGGTCTTTTACACAAGTATGATAGAGGGTTTGGCCCCCTCCAAAAAATAATTACCCATTATAGTGAAACGTAAATGAAAGCTAATTAAATAAATTGTCTTTTGCACATCTAATTAATTAATATTGTAAAATGCTACAATCTCATATGCGTGTACTGGGTCGGGGGTCTGAACTATATGGTCTGAACATGAAGGTGAAACGTCTTGTCTGAGTCTGTTCACTCAGGTCATAATTAATGTGACTGGAAGTGTGTACTGGACGGATGATGCTGGAACCTATCCGGCAAATTGAAGCTTGCTTACGCTAGAAGATGGACTTCAACACTTTTTGTGACTAATGGTAGTAGGGAAGCTCGATAGTAGAGCACTTGAGGAAATATTAAAGGACAAGGCAAATGTAACATGTGAAGAGATCCAGCCTCAACAGCAGCGAAGCTGTCACCTCAACGGCTAACGACTGCTCAGGTGTAGCAGTAAGCCTGGCTCCTCCATCTTTAAAAGACTGGATCCTCTGCTCTCTGTTGGGACTCCTACCACCCATACTGGTGGTTTTTGGACTAACAAACCAAAGCAAGTACTGTTACGTTACCCTGTCCATTTAGTTAACGTTACACAAAAGGCGGAGAAACAGAGATGGATTTGCATTTCAAAACCATTCCAACTCCAACCATCAACTGTAATGGATTTAAAATAATTAAACATGGCTAACATGAACTAGGGTAAAAGAGTCAACACCAAAAGATGATCTTTAAAACTTTTGTGACCAAAAGATAGTGCAGCACCCGAGGAAATATCTGAGGTCGAGGCAAATGACAATACATTAAGGTCCTTGAGAGTATGAATGTTTGTAGTTGTAATTGGTTTTGTAAAAGAAATGGCAAATTGTAATAGTATGGCAACAGAAACAAATGTACAAACTCAAAACTGATCAAATGAATATACACTTTATGACATTACAAAAACAAAGTACACTGATGCTTTGGAGTTTGTCTCAGCTGTCTCCGATGAAAAGACATCTCAATTCTTTTACACAAGTAACAGTAATTAAATATGACTACTTGAACCAATCTCCCAAATGCACCATCACGGTGTTTCTTTTGTGAGCCATTCATTCCACTTAATTACTGCAAGGTGGTCAGAAAGCAAATTCTCAGTGCGATTTCCCCTCAGCCTCCAGAGCTGCTCCTTGTAGGATCCCCAGGCCCTGTCAATATGCTGGGTATGGGCTCGTGTTAGGATCTACATACCACCTGCTGTGGTTGACAGACTGATGGTTGTGCCCTAGTGCAGGGTGTCCGCGATAGGCACGCCATTAGTCCCTGATAAATGATGATCCAAGCCTCACATTATGTGCAATCAAGGGGACGAGTTGTCTTCGAGATCTTCTCTCCACAAGACGTAGAATAGGCTTTCCTAGATCTTTGCCCTTGATGATGCCTCACACTTAACATCCCAAAGACCCACTTCTTTCTTTTCCACCCACCAGCCATTCCTCCTCTCCCATACAGATACAAAATAAAGTCGTGAACAGATACTTTATATTGACAATAACTATATTTCACAATTATTTAAAGTTGTTATTAAAACACATCTTTCTTTTGTGCCGGAAATGGCACTCATTGATCACAACAAACTCCTTTCTTCCACCAATCTGCTGGCCTGTACGCCTTCTCAACCTTCCCACTGCTGTGACACAGACCATTTTACTAAGAGTATCTGAACTTGCTGCCATGCTGTCCATCATGTCAATCTGCTGTAATCGTAGACCCTGAGAAAATCTTCAAAGGCAAATTTATAATAAAAAAAAAAAAAAAAAAAAAAGTTTATGTGTCTCTAAAATCATTGACACACCATTATAGACATTATTTTGCATGTTTTATGCAAATTACAAAGAGAACTGCAATGTCGTGAGCCAATTGAAATTACTTAGTTTAATTAAAACGAATAGCCATAATATTACAATTTGGCAGTTTTTAACTAAACCAATTACTAAAAGTCATACTCTTAAGGACCTTAATGTATTGTCACATATTGTCAAAATATGAAAAAAAAAGGCTGAAAAACGGCAACTGTTGTGGCACCTCTCCCAAACAGTGGTGACTGCCACAAACGGTTGTGGCGGCTGAGCTTGCAACAGGAAGTGCCACTGCTAGCTGCCACAATTTGACAGCTTAATAAAGCACCAAAATCGTGAATCAGGGTTAAAAGCTGAACACTTAGTCGTGTATTGATACCGTTAATCCATAGCACCAACTGTTAAATACGAGGTGTGCACAATGTAAAGCTTTGAAATAATGCAGTCTTTAGCCTTGTAATAAATAATGAAACATATTTTAATTTTAAAAGCTGGTTATTCAAATAAATTTTTGTTTAATAGGCTGTAAGATGTTCATCTTGTCCAATAACGTAGACTTTTTAAAAGGCGTTTCTGTTTTTGTTTGTTTGTTTTCCGGTGGTTCCTTTGAACAAAATCCTCTGAAATGAAGGAATATAGGTGCATTTGTATTTTCCTTGACAGGGGCTGACATTTGCATCATGGATGTAAAGGAATGGCTGTCAAAATGACCCTTACAGTTACCATGTACTATAGACTGTATATCTGTCACGGGGTATGGTGGAGGACTCAAATGCAGTCAAGACCAGAAGTAGAGTGAAGCAGGTATTTAATGAACAACGAAATCAGAAGAGGAAACTTACAGGAACACAACAGGGAATCAACGGACGAGACAAGAGACGAGGGGGGAAATCCAGCAGGACGAGGCAGGGCAGGCAGACGGGGGCACAGGACGAGCCAAACGGGCTGGTCCTTAGTAACGGGCGGGTAGACATGGCAATGATCTGACAAGGAGTGACTGAGAGGCAGGGGTTTAAATAGTGGCTGGATAGAGGCAGGTGAGGGGAGCTGTGCTGATGAGGAGGGAGGCTGACAGGTGCACTGAATGAGCTGATAGGTGAGTGAGGTGAGTGAGAAATAAAGAGACAGCAGAGAAGGGGCAGAGCTGTGACAATATCATCCTATCACCTATATTCTTTTCTTTTATTTGTCTGAAATCACAGTACACTATGTGGTAATGTGCCAACCATTTGTGTCGTTTATTTTCTACATTCTGAATTATTATACCTACAGTACATTGTAAACCTTGTACAACACACTTTTCTGTATTTAGTAAATAAATAAAACAAACTTGGATTTGAAAAAAGGGGAGAAGGACAAAAAGAGAGAGAGAGAGAGAGAGAGAGAGAGAGAGAGAGAGAGAGAGAG